ACACACACACACACACACACACACACACACACACACACACACACACAGCACCAGATCACAAAGACGGTGCAGGAAACATAAATGGTGTCAGATGCTAACAACATCCGCTCTTTGAATTTTTCATGCGTGTTGTTGGATCAATGCCTGCAGAAAACAAAGGAGACAGCTCGGTTCGTATTCACACTAACACGTGGTGGCATAATGAGAAATACAAACATGGGCCAGCTATGCCCCCCATCGCCAAACCACGACGCGGCTGCTATGGACCCAAAAACCAAGTCTGCAAAACCGGCTTTTGTCTACCTCCGTCTGAAATCAAGGACCCATTGCTTCAAAATTGAGTTTAGTTTAAAGTGGCAAATCTGCCCTTGTTATCACACGTGTGCCGTGTAGAGAGTGGAAAGCCCTTAGGACAGCAAGCCTTTATTAAACAGTTTATTATCTCCTTTCCTAGATACTAACGTTTTTTTAGGGGGAAAAAAAAGAAGGAGAAGGAGAGGCCAGGGAAGACTGGCTAACGTACCCACATATCCCGGCGTGCCGCACGCGGTGGACATGACATCGCCACTGCCCTCCATCTTGGAGAGTCCAAAGTCGCTGATCATGATCTTGGACTCATCTTGGGTATTAAAATACAGCAAGTTCTCTGGCTGGAGGAGGGAGATGGAGAGAAAGAGAGAATCAAGTGGTTTTATGTCATTTTTATGGCTTTCATTTTCCTTTTAAATCCATGGTTATTTGGTCAGAGACGCAACCCTCTTTTATGGAGGCCACTCTGACCAATCCCCTCTCTTCTAACAGCCGGCACGCGCAACACCGACCCACAATGCACTGCATGTGTCAAGCTACTGCACTCATTGCTGCAGTAAATCATTGCCTATCAAATAAGAACAAACTGCTCGTGTGGTGTAAAATACAGGAGGGGTGTGTGTGTGTGTGTGTGTGTATATGCGAGAGAGAGAGAGAGAGAGAGAGAGAGAGAGAGAGAGAGACCTACCTTCAGGTCTCGGTGTACGATGGCCATCTTGTGCAGGTAGTTCACAGCGTCCAGGACTTGTCGGATCAGCGTGCTCGCATCCTTCTCCGTGTAGAAACCCTTTTCCACGATTCGGTCGAACAGCTCGCCGCCGGACACGCTGCGGAATGGCAAGGAGATTATGTGTGTCAGTGTATGTTTGTTAAAAAAAAGCATTAGCATGCACACACACACATGGCAGTGACCGGTAAAAGGCCGGGGGGTGGGGGTGTTGCTGGGTCAAGATTTCTGGTAATTTATGAGCTGTGGATGTTTCCAGCCAAGAGCGTGTGGAAGCTGTGAGTAATGTTCTCCCTCACACACACACACACACACACACACACACACGCACACACACTTATACACACACAAAGTACTCAAATACCCTGCAGCGTTTAGCATACCGTGTAACATGTTCATGTTATTTTTGCAAAGTGTGATAAAAGTTGGAAAATGCATCCTCCCATATTCCTGGAAAGCAGGGGTGTAAGAAAATAGAAAATCGCGATATTATGTTTTGTGATACCGTATCGATTCTCAAAAACACCGTTCTGGTTTTGGTAGTTCAGCTCTCAGTGTTTGTGCCCTCTCAAAGTAGAACTATGACGTTGGGTGTTGCAGGGACTGTGAGACATGCAAATGCAGATCAAACTGCTCTGATTGCATGAGAAAGTAAACGTTTAAACTCAGATGTTATGCATATGGTGGTGTGTACTTCAAATGATGACAATTTTCCTTAAATTTGAATAGAAAGAAAAACTGAAATTTGTACTTTTAGCTCAATTTTCAAAGCAAAACCTGTTCTTGAAAGGAGTCAAAGCTCCCGCCAAGTTGATAAAAAAACATTCTGACACACTTACAGCGTGCAGACAGAATGGAACCCATCAATGCTGGTAAAAGAAGAAACTCACATTTGACCCCAGAAAAAAGATAAAAAGCACATTTCAAAGTCCATCCCCTCTGGCAGATTCTTTCAATATTTAGTTTGATGTTTTATGACTCCAGACCACGTGTAATGACTTGTTCATGCGCACATACAGTCGGAGCAGATGGGAACGTGCTCATCTTCTGCTGTACGGATGCATAGCTCCCCCTGCTGGAGGATAACCTCCTCCTTCACCTCACGATGTCATCTCATCTAAATGTTTGGATGTTAATGTGGACTATTTGCCATACAAGATGTGTCGACATAAGTAAGCAACACAGTGGCAGTATTTGTAATATTACTAGTAGTACTATTAATAGTAGTAGTACCCAACACACCTTGTAGTATTCTTTACTGCATGTTTATACTTTGTGCATTAAAGCATAATGAAGGCATATGCACACATGCACTAATACGCACTAGTGGCCACAAATGTGCACAGACACACAAGAATGCACAAAGGCGTGCGCGTGCGGTCGCACAGCGTATCTGTGGGCCGTCGTCACGGCAACAGATCAGATTAGAGCCTGTGGAAGTTAAACTCTAATGAAGTTCCTGAAAAAAAAAAAAAAAAAAAAAAAAAAAAAGATTAGAATTAATTGCTAATCCTCTGACTCTTCAAAGAGGGCAGCGACATGTTCGGTTTCAGGGGCAGTCGTTTCTGGGAATGACAGGAAAGGGCCAAATACACAAACACACACACACACACGCACACACACACAGCACAGACAGACGCGCGCACACACACACACACGCACTGCAAAAGGGGAGATCAGCCACCAGGCTGCATGGTTGCGTAAGCGTTTGCATAAGGAGACCATGGCAATCAGACAGGAGCAGCCACACAAAGAGCACACAGACACACAAGCGCAGACGTGAGGGCAGGACCGCGCACACACACACAAACATATTAAAAGCAAGCGCATACACACAGAGACACTCGTGAAAAACACAGAGATAAACATACAAGGTCACACATCAAAGTTAAACACGTACAAGTACACACACTAAACACGATGTCACATGCATATATGTACACGCAGCCTGTAAAATAAGGCTGAGGGATTGTCAAATTAACCATTATTCATTCGATCCAATAATCAATATCAGGAGGTCAAAGGTCACAGCATCCTTACAATATATTTATGTCCCCCGGCCAAAATCGCCCCCTATTTATTATAGAGCACTACAGTTACTGTTCGCTGTGTAAAATGTGTGTCCGATATCGGGCCATCACAAATTTCCCAATGGAACGGAAAAAGTAGTGGCCATGGCATGTGTATTCCAATTCTGATAACAATCCCAGAATGCAGTGCGTCTCATTTAATAGATGAGAAAATGCCGTTTGTGCGGCTCTAAGCCTGCGTGGTATTGACCTTATTCTTATAATCATCTCAACAAGGGCTCTTTCACATGGCGCCATTTTGTAATTGTACTACCGTCTTAGAGCGGAAGTACGATTACATTTCTTAACGTCGCAAGAGTCATCATCCTGTACTTGCAAAAAAAATTAAATCTTTAAAAGAAGCCGTTCTTAAGTTGTAATCATTTTTCAGGAAAGAAAGTCACCATTTAGAAAGTTTATCAAAACAACACCTAATTGGAAATTTCCGCTGTTTTTGGAAATGAGAGGAGCTGCTGACTGTATATGTAGCACATGTCGACAGTGTTTTTGTAGTTACTCTCACTGCCAGAAGGGAAGACACAGGTCTCCAATGTATGTTTAACCATAAAATTAATCAAGAACCATTGATTTGGCAATAGCTAGCTAGTAGCTAGCTATCAGACAGATGGACAGGTTGGTTTAATTCGCTTTCTAGATGAACTAATATTTATACACATTAACCCTCTGTGCAGACTTTTGTCTGCCTCCAATTATTACAAAAAAAACTGTCGAAATGTGCTTTTGTATGCCGATTCCAACCAGCAGATGTATAAGCTTCGCTACATCTACACACAGAGACGCTACAAAGTAATTCAAAAAGGTCCAGGCCATTTTCACATGTTGTCCTCCCAGTCACTGATGGCTGATGTTTTTAAATTGCAAGTCGCTTTGGATAAAAGAGTCTGCTAAATGACTGTAATGTAATGTAATGTAAAACCATCCGATTGTTGTTTTTTTGTTCCCAAATATCCCTCATTGTTTTCAATGCTAACAGCGCTAATCCGGAGGCGTTCAGACCAGCAGCGAAAAAAATGGACGGGCCGGCATAAAGCGAATAGGTCTCGACAATTTCTGCATTTAGAAAAATCTTCTTGGAAAAAACAATAAAATTATGTTTTATGTTTTTTATTTTTGCTGTGACCTTTTAAGGCCCTCCACACCCTCTGTCCAGGTGTTTCCACTTATCGAGGCTGATTAAAGCTCTTCTGACCGCTGTGTGGGCAGACTGCGCTTTCAGTGGGTCGGCTCCAAATCTGAGCGGCACAGTTTCAATTCAGGACAGAGTACCGCACACGAGCGTAAACAAAACCCAGCGTGTGTAATTGTCTTATTTACACCTGTGATTTTCCTTCTGACATGTCAAAATGTCCACACTGTTCCCTCTTCAACCGGAGAGGAGTCGAATTACCCGGAATAAGTGCAAACACCTGTGCTTTAAATCATCGTGTACATTATGGGTTCAGCACATTTACATTTTAAGTCATCTGATTCTGGGGGTAGAGTCGTCCCTGTTTTCTACAGCTACAGATGAATTTTCAGGCATTCCCTTTTTCACCATCCCAACATCCATCTCTCCTCCGTCAGCTCATCTGTTTAAAGGCAGGCGGCCGCATCGCTGTCTCGAGGCGACGGTTGTGCATCATGGCTGACAGAAAGCCTTATTTGCACGTGTGTGTGTGTGTGTGTGTGATACATGCTGTTCGCCTTGGCAGAGATGAAGAGCCATTACAGTCTAGGGACCTGACTAACTAATCACAGCTGCCCCACCGCTTCAAAGGCTGCACTTGCACTTTTGCTTTTCTTTGATCCAGTTGATGTTTGTTCCCATGAATGCTTATCACACAAAAACCTTAATAAATATCATTTTAACTATTTTCTAAAATTGCAATTTGTCTGAAATCCTTAATTTGAACGACGGAATTTTGTAAAATGACCAGACGGTTTGATCATTTTGTCAAGATGTAATTTCACCCCAAAAATTGCCCACCTGCTGCTTTAGGTTTCCCGTGAGTGCACGAAAACAAAAGGCGATGCAATAAATAAAAAACACACTTAAAACTATATCATAAAGAATCAAAAGATGATACCACAGGTCTATCTTTTTGTAACCTTTCTAAGTGTCAGATGCTGCATACTTTTGTTTATACTTACTACACCACAGATGCTTTCGCTTTTTTGCTAATATGCCTCTCGCAACACAATCGGCATCAATATAAAGCCCACGTTGCTCTCGTTTGCATCGATTTTCATAGCGGCGCCGACTGATTGCCTCCCTGCGGTGGAGGTGACGTAAGACGGGCTGTGATGAACGGGAGCGAAGGAAGCGCTGCCAGACTGCATCGATCTGCCACGCCGCATTTACACCAAAAACATTTTAAATAAATAAATAAATGAGATTCGTGTGTGCTGAAAAAATAACTAAAGACTGACATCTCAGGTAAATGAACATAATTAGAACAAATGTTACTTATTACAGTAGCGATTGGTCTGGAAAAGCCTCGCTTTCTGCTACACGCTTGCTGAGGCACTGATGACAGATTGCCGTCACCAGCTACACAGATTCTCTCTGTTTCAGCAGATCAGCTGTAGAGTGACGGAGCTGCTGTGTACAGCATAAGGGAGAACAGCCTGCAGCGCTGAGGCCACATGAAAAAGGGAGCCTGAACCGCTCTCTCTTCTGATGCTTTTACACAGAGCCTTCTATTTTTTAAACACAGCGTCTCTCTCTCTCTGTCTGAACATGAGATGATGCAGAATCTTAAAAGAGCACTGTGAAAATGTTAGTCAAATAGAATGAGGAGTGGCACAGCAAATATGAATTGTAACAGTCAGAAAGGTTATCCAAAAGCTTGTCTGAATAAGTAAAATAATATCACACAAACAACAGCACAACTAATCTCTCCTGCTGATAATGCCACCTGCTGCAATTCTCAAGGTCCCAATGAAATGCTATAAAGCAGGTGTTAACTTTGACCCTGTAACTATGGCAACCGAGCCACATCCATGAATAGATGGAACTTGAAAGAAAAAAGAAAAAAAAGATCAGGAAAAACGTGCAGGCGAAAGGCGAGAGGTGATGGCGATGGAAATAAGGTGCGAGAGGGGAGGAAAGGAAGCAGTGAAGTGGAGGGAGCAGAGAGCAGATGGTGGTGAGAGAGGAGAGAAAAGATACAGGGATGGGGGGGGTGTACAGGGGGACAGAGGAGCAGAGGCGGGGTCTTTCCTGTTACCGTCTCTGTCACGCTTTGTTGGAATGAAAACTGTCTTTTGCCCTGAAAGCGAGGTGAAAGCAGTAGAAATGAGGCAGCAGGTCAAAACCCCTTGAGAAGATGTTTTATTGAGTCTGACAGCCTGTATATGCAGCCCAGCAGAGAGAAGTACATCAACTTAACTGCAGCTCAGAGACAGAAAGCGACATTTATGTAAAGCTCCTACTCAAAGTCATGAGATTATATTTCTTAAATCTGGACCCAATTGAAAAATCATCAGCGTTTTTATCTCCCTTTAATAATGTCTGGAAATGATTTACCAGTTAAGTTAAGACTGAGGAGGGACGATCACTTCCTTCTCATGTTACCCAGCGTAAGTAAAGCTGACAAACAAGGTGGTGGCAGCCGGCCCGCCAACACAAGTACCGTTAATTGATTTATTCATGACTACAGGAAACTCCGTCAAAAGGTTAACGTTATTGAAGGTAAACAGCTTAATCGGAGTAAAACCTTTGACTGCAGTCTGGCCAACAGAGGATTTCAGGTGCTTCTCAGCAGACGCGTTGGAGGAACCTCGGCTCTGTGAAAGGCTGAATTCACACGATTAACCTGTGTGCTTACTTACTGGGGCTGCTCAATTATTCGGATATCATCACGATTTTGGGTCACCGCAATTAAAGGAACATGATCGACTGGGATATTGACGTTGGAAAAGCGTGCTCCGCTTGTAAAAAAAAATCTCACTGCACATCAAATCGAGAACAGACAGCCACCGGGGGGGGGGGGGGGCGATCAATATGTTTTGGCTTCACTGTTGGGGAACCGTCATGCAGCTGCACTCATAGACTGCATATAAGAAGTGGACGTAGTCATCGTGATGTCACCCGTTGGTTTGTGGAATGGCGTTTTGAAGCCTTGAGTTTTGGGGATCGCAATGTTGATGGAAGTTACCATATTTGGAATGCGGAGGAGTGACGTAGAGACGCCGTATACGGCTCTGGTAACGGCAGTGACCTGTCAATCACAGTATGCCCGCCCTAAAGCATCCCCTGCTTTATGGTCTGTTTGACTCTAAATGGACCATCATTTACTAAATGAACATCATGCTGTATTGAAGAAGACTTGAAACTAGAGATTGAGACCATAAACTCATGTTTACAATGTTTACTGAGGTAATAAATCGAGAAGTAGAGTCATTTTCTCATAGACTTCTATACAATCAGACTTCTTTTTGCAACCGGAGGAGTCGCCCCCTGCTGGTCAGTAGAGGGAATGCAGGATTTAAGACACTTCAGCATCGGCTTCACTCGGCAGAACCGGAGGTTGCCGACAGTGAGAAACTTTCCTGAATGTTGTGCCAGCGGTCCATAGTAGAACCGTGATATACTGTATATTACTCATTTTGCACGTCTGCACATTAGCAGCAATGTAGCACAACATCAAAATAAAAGTAGTGCTCCATTTATTTAAATGCCCACTAAAAATGTTTTTCCTAAAATCTATAAATGATCGCGATGAATAATCACGATTCATTAGGTTTATCATTTCGGGTGTAAACCTGCAACCCTAGTGCTCATTGTGACAATTTCTTTTCTGATAATTCCTTCAGTCATCCATTGTCATTACTGTCAGCTTAGCTAGCTACAGATGAAAATTTGCCCCAGAAAAGTTATAATTACAGGAAGTCATTTTGGACGAATGAAATTTGGCCTCGTTGAATTAACTTTGCTCAATTCAAGACAGTGTTTTGCTGCTCCAGCCTTATTTGGTCTGGTATGACTGGTAGCTTATGGTCGCTAACATTAGCTAAGGTCACACAGATAATGTTGTATACGTTTACAGGGAAATAATGTTTGTATTTCCTTAAGCCTGACATCTGCAGCAGAAGCACGGCAGCTTCTTTAGATGAAAGCCTTTAGCCTGGATTGAAAATGTCACTAGTGCTGAACATAAATACCATTAAATACCAGTGATGTCGCTTAAAACTTCAATTTATCAGATGAGGTCTGACGTAACTATGTCACAGTAACCTATATAGGAGCCAGATCTTATCAACCTATTACTGAGAATGATACTACTGCGCAGCAACCTGTTAAAGCTACGGTAGATCTCTGTCTCTAACAGCAGTTTTCCTCCACAGTCGTTACGATTCAACTTGTGATTCACTGTAAGCCTTTGTAGCCTTGAGCTAGTCTTTTTTTAAAATATATCATGCAGTGTTTTCTGTAAACCATTTGTGGACCATTTAAAGCTTACTGATCCATCATCCCAATCTAAAGAAAATGTAAATTCTTATTCAGGCTAAAATCAGCAAATTTAAACAATCACCCAAGTTCCATTTCTGTTGATTATGACATACAGCTGCTACATGAACTCCAGAACTAGAGCACAGAAAATGCAATGAAATGGTTTAATCTCGAAGAAAAGGAAGAAGTACATTTTTTCATTCAAAAGTAAAATATTAGCTTTTGCTTAAGAGTTTATTCCCTGAAACAAAACCAGAAAAGGTTGTTTTTATCAAAACAAAACTCTCAACTTCCTGTATTTTGACCGGAGCTAACGCAGAAGGATCCTCGTGTGGTAGGCAGACAAGATAATGCATGAACGCCGGGTTGTAAACATAGCCCTTGTTGTGTAATCCGCAGCCATGACTTCCACCTGAACTTGACTGAAATTTTTCCAGTACAAGGGCCAAACTGCCCGGCCAACTTCTCCTCTTATGCAAGCGGCAGTAACCTTGCAGAGGAGGTTAGTAAGGGCACCCATGGGTGAACCACACACCCCCTGCTTCCCCCTACAGCTGACCATCAAAGCGCAGATGTTGCCGATGTATTGTGTTGTGTGTGTGTGTGTGTGTGTGTGGACGGGTGGGCTGTTTGTGCGTGTGTGAGATTTTGTCGTCTCAGTGGAGCTGTCATTGAAGTGAAGAGTGTGTGTGTGTATGTGTACGTGGTGATGGGTGGGCGGACAGAACAATAAGATTAAACGTGTGAGGAAGACAGAGATGGAGAGTTATGAGTCTCTGGCTCATTTATATGTAGTGTTTTATGAATAACTCAAGAAAACATTGTGATTTTAAGATTTCTGTATTCAACAGAGATATTGCTCTTGTGGTTTTTCTCCAGGAAAGTTCTAATGTTCCCATTTTTAGAAATAGAAAATATCACCAAAAATACAATAAACAGAAAGTTTTGACAAAAAAGAAAAAAAAATCTAAAAGGATGAAAGGATTTTTTTTCTTTCACCAGTGATTACTCACCTCAAAATTGAACAATCCCAACACTATAATCTGTGTCTAGTATGTTTCCAGCTCCAACAACGTCCAAAAATCCTACATTTCCCATAATGCAAGTAGATAGCATAATTCGATGCTGAGTCATACTGCTCTGCAGGTTTAATAGAGAAACGCTGTGAGAACCACAACTTTCTCCTGATTATTAAGTCAGCATGCAGTCACATTGAACTTCTCCTTCCAGAGGAACCTGCTTTTAGTGTACATGTTGACAAGTTGCACAGATAAGTGCAACAGTTTTCACAGGATAAGTAGTACTTCTTATGACACGTATACTGAACACAACATGTAAAATCAGTGGATTGCCCCTTTAAGTTTCAGCATACAACTTACTGTCACTAGACCACCTGATTGAATGATCTCCCAGGGACGCATGGATGATTTCGGGCCCTTTTGTCTCTCATCAGCTAGATTGATCAACAGTCCCAAAAGCTCACGTAAGAGAGCAAACGAACAACAAAAAAAGACACGAGGCTTAAACTCACAGCTGCATGATCAGGTAGAGGTGGTCAGGGCTCTCGTAGATGTCCTCCAGTGCCACGATGTTCTCATGCTTGATCCTGCAAAACAAAGACAGACCATCGGTGTTTTATTTCAAAGCTGCAGCACGTCTTATTTCACACAATAACCCATTAACGGAACTAAACTGTTACCTCGGGTGGCCTTACAATCCAGACTGCAGTACCCAGATTTCTTCAGTAGCTTTTGATCACACTACATGATCTTCATCTGCAGACAGAGTTTGCCCAGTTGCCACGGAAATGTAGATTTCCTAGATATTCATTTTTTGCCCAGTTGCTCCGCAAACGTTACCCGCTGATGAAGATCATGGGATATGATTGAAAGCTCCAGAAGAGCTACTAAAGGGACCTTGAGGTGAGACTGTTGTTTCTGGAGGCTAGTTGACATCTGAAGAAGACCGTGGCTGTGTTTGAAATCTCAAACTAACAAACTTCTGCGTTCCCGCTGCATAGTATGTGGATTGTGTGTATGCGAGAAATGCCAGGATGTACACCACATCGGCAAGAGGATTCAGTTGAAAGTTCTAGAGAAATTGTGAATAGGAAGTGTGATGTTGAATTGAAACGTTTTTCCAAAAACTACTAATTCTGAAGCCGAGGATGAACTCTCGCACAAAGATGTCCACCCAGCTCAAATTCTTCAGGGACTCGAACCGACAATCTTCCGATCGCAGAGGGCCATTCTGCCACGAAACCATTTTCATCTTCTCCTCACCTCTCTGCTCATTTCTGTCAGCTCTCTCCTGGTTTCTCCATGGTTACGGCTCTGTGACGAGGGTGTTTCCATCCTTCTGTGTGTGTGTGTGTGTGTGTGTGTGTGTGTGTGT